CGGACTGTAAAGAAGGATACCTCGTCAAAATATGGGCAAGTGTGAAAATTACAGGGGCATCGCATTACGATCATTACCACGAAAAGTTTGCAATAAGGTATTGTTGAACGGAATGTAAGATTCAGTAGACGCACAACATGGGGATCAACAGGCCGGATTCCATAAAGATCGACCATGAACAAACCAAATCACGAAACTACGGATCACCTTCCAGTAATCGGTTGAATGAAACTTGTCAGTATACACCAACTTCCTTGACTATGAGAAAGCGTTAAACAGTGTTAATAGAAGGCTTTTATACAGCATTTTTCGACGCCATGGTGTATCTGAGAAGATTTTCAACATCATAGGGAATTCGTGAGACGGAATACACTGCAATGTCGTGTAAGGAGGACAGCCCACAGACACATTCCAAGCGAGGACCGGAGTTAGACAAGTTTGCTTACTCTCACCCTGAATTATAAAAACCTCGCCATCTCAGGGAATGAATGGAATGAACTGGACTGTTTGGATGCAACTTTACGATTTGCACTTCACAGGTGATTTGGCCTGACGTTCTACCCCTTACACAGCAACAAAAAGCAGGTGAAGACAAACAGCGTGACAAAAGGCTCTACATCAGTAGGCCACAACATATACAAAGGAAAAAGTAAGACCATCAAATACAGCACACAGAACACCAACGCAATTACACTTGATGGAGAAACTTTGGAAGACGTAGGATCATTCACTTACCTGTAAAGCATCATCGATGAACAAGGATGATCGGATGCGAACGTAAAGGCAAGGATTGGTAAAGCAATGGACGCATTCCTACAGTTGAAGAACATATGGAACTCAAAACAACTGTCAACCAATATCAAAGTCACAATCTTCAATACGAACGTCAAGACAGTTCTACTGTATAGAGTTGAAACTTGGATAACTACCACAACGATCATCGAAAGGTTACAAGTATTTATAAACAGTTATCTACCCAAGATACTCAACATCCATTGGCCGGATACCATCAGCAACAGCCTACTGTGAGAGATAACAGACAAGCTTCCAGCTGATGAGGAAATTAGTAAAAGACATTGGAGGTGGATGGGACACACATCGAGGAAATCATCAAACTGCATCATGAGGCACGCGTTAACTCGGAATCCTGGGGGGAAACGAAAAAGAGGAAGACTAAGTAACACATTAAGTCGAGAATTGGAAGCAGATATGAAGGGGGTGAATAGCAACTGGAAACAACTGGAAGGGATTGTTAGGCACAGAGTCGGATGGAGTACCCCATTAGGTGGCTTATGCTCATCCACTAGGGGCAACAGGCGTAAGTTTGGTATTTCGAATTATTTGAATTGTAGTATGAACTATGAATCCCAGAAATAACGCAGTTGAATCAAGAAGTACTAGATGAGCACAAACGAATGTATTGTATTTAAAATTCGAAATCAAGCGTTCAACAAATACAAAAGAATCATTAGTTAATTCAAACACCACAATAAGCAAGTCGGTAGGTTGTCATGTTGAATAAGTCGCATCGAATACAAGTAAACGGAGACAAATAAATTAAATAAATAGGCATTTCATCACAATCTTAGTATGTGCACGTTTAGACAAAAAACACATAGGGTTTACAAGCCACTTCTATTCTCTATAGTTCTAACCTTAAAGAAATACATTCAACTCGGAAACGCCATAATTTCACTTTCATGTCATTGTATACTTGGAAGTTACTGTAGGGCCAGCGAAATGTTACTGAGCCCTAGCCAAATCATCCGGCAGTCGGGTCATTGAATATCGAACAAATCATCGATGCTCGTCAAGATCAAGGACAACTGACGCGCATCAGTTAATCGTACGCCATGGACTCGCCCATGCGGTGGTGGTCTTACTTTCGCTTGTATCTACTTTAACTAATACATTTCTGTAATAACATTCTCTGTGTTGTAGTTTCTTCAAAGCATCTATAGTAACTTGATACGTCAATGGAGTAGTCCACGTAAGGTGCTGACTACGAGGTGTGACTTCGACGTCAGCTGGTTCTGCACACCACTCCCGTCTAACTCGAGTTGGCCTCCGATTATCCGACATAGATAATCTACGTTGGTGATCTACATTACAATATTTCATCACCGTATCATATTCATATTAGTTTCAGAAATTGGTCAGATAAGTGACATTTTCGTTGAATATGTGACTTTTTAGCTTGAATCCATTACTAAGAGCAAAATATAACTACTGATAAGAACATGTGATTAATGATACTAGTTGATTCCAATCAAATTGTGATAGAGAGTGGTCCATTCAGAAGTCGAAATTTCCCTCAACTGATGAAAACTTCACCCCAGTTATGTTTATGTTTAAAATGTTTTATATTCAAGCAAATATCCCACACTTTAAACAGAATGGAATACACCATCGGATGAAGCATCACATCCCACAGTAACTTGAGGGAATGCACCGTTACAATGTTCCAAATATACTCAAAAATAATATAAACTACTGAAAAGTATTAAGTAGTATAACATGAAAAGGAGAAAAATAGTGAAGTCAGTGGTTCAACCAATAAATTTTTTGAATCTCTATTAGTTGTTCCTAGCAAATATGAACCAGTTATATCCTCTTACCACAAATTTTGTCACCAGTTAGTAAGTTCAGAACAAAACGAAACATTGGTTCTAGATTCCTTTCTAGCCTCAGTCCAAAAATGCAAGAAAAACATGTGATTAGACAGTATAACGTTCAATTGAGATCAAACGAATGAAGTCCGTAAAATCAACAGTAGGAAAATACAAACTTTTACAAAAAAATCCAGTCTTTTTATAAGTGTTAGCGGTTATCTGGACTAAGTAGCCCAGTAGATGATTTGCTTGACAAAAGATTTTGAGTTCAACTCTCAACACGAATGTCAACACTGTGATGTAGGTATATGCAACTGGTAAGTTAGGATTAGGATGGACTTGTCACATTGGATTCTACTGCATGCTTTTATGCAACATTATTAGACCGAAAGTCATTCGATGCTATTTAGTAGGATGTATTTGTCTTAACTGTTGACACTTATTTAGATTATTATTTTTGAGTAATTATAGTATTCGAATTGTCGTATGAATTAGGAATTCCAGGATTAACGCAATTGAATTAAGAAGACACAGGCACAAACGAATGTATTGTATTTAGAATTCGAAATCGAGCATTCAACATGTACAAAGATATCATTAGTCCATTCAAACACCACAGTAATACTGGTTCTAAATGAACGGGCACTTTTAAATAGTATAACTATCTGTTGATTTATTTGTAATCATTACCTTCTCTGATAAAATTTGTTTTAGGGCTATCAATTAGAATGACTAATTTATTCCGAAACATTCCTTAGAGGCATAAGAACTACAAAAAATTATGTATATTTCCTCATGTACTTGAATTCGAACACATTTCAGACTAAATGACTCATATTCATACTTCAATGATGTTACATTCAATATTGTAACATGGCTTGATAATCAGTTAATTAGTATCAGGAAAGGTTTTGTGGAGATTGTAGTAATTTCAATAGTTGTGATCATAAGTCGATTGAAGCTAGAACACGCATCCATTGGATGCGCACTGCTGAGGAGTCCCAAAATAGGACGAAACGGTCGTCCAGTGCTTCCAGGTTTTCCATGGTGTTCTAGCTTCAATTGACTCATGATCTCAACTGTTGAAATCAGTTACTTGTTTTGTAGCCCAACTTATATTTAATAATTATGATTTTTGATTATTTCACTACAGAAGCTCTGGTCAAACTACTAAGTGAATAGTTGGAGTAATGTTCTAAATTTCAATTCATCTGTACATAGTTTTAAAGGAAAATGTCTCAACATTTTCTTTGTTTTTCTATTTATTCTTCTTTATAGGTGTCTTCGAAGCATAGCTCACATATCGTGTAACAACCTTATGAGCAGTCGATGTCGAGAATGGGTATAGGGCACGAGGCCGAGATATCCGGTCGATCGATGAGATTTTAAATTTTTATCGACTGACGTGATTAGGATATGTTACGTACGTTTAAATCAATAACTTGAAACGCAGAATTGGCCACAGTGGTGCAGATGTATTTGCTACTTATTCTTCCTTAGATCTTGCGTTGCAGTCTTCCTTTATTCTTGCTGTATCTCTTTGAGTCATATTTTCAATGATCAGTCTTTCTCATTATGGGTGTTACGACATTATTTCAATCTCGGTTGTTATTCATCGTATTTTTCATCTCGTCATGTTAATGTGCCACGGCTAATTTAGATAACCCGAATCTCTGAGCGGTTCTATGAGATGACATATATCTGTCTGCCCTTTCTCTTTTCCTTCTTTTTCCAAGATTTCTAACTCTTTCCCCCCTCCCTCTTTATTTCTATTTCACCTACTTCCTCTATTTCTCTTTCCTTTATTTTTCTCTTCTTTCCTTTCCTTTCTTCTCTTCCGTCATCTTCATTTTCACGGTTTACTCTTTTCCCTTCCTCCCTCCTCATCGTCTTATTCTATTACATCGTCACTTTCCATTTTTCTCCTATTTTCTACATTGCTTTAACTCGAAGGCATTATAAGGATTTGGAGAACCTGTAGTAAATGAAAACTCAGGTACGAGCATCCACTTCATTGTTTAAAATAAAATTACAGAATATCTTCGTAAAATACAAGAACCATACATTCAATGCTCTATTTGCAAACCTTCTATCAATTGTCTTTTACATTCTACATGATTCTTTCAATTAACAATTTCTTTCTACTTCTCTTTCTGTTTTATTCAATTTCATCTTCTTAACCTTTTGTTACCAAGCATTTTAGATCTGATTGGTGTTACATACTACTTATATTGATAGACATAAGTAGCATACACCACAATCCTTTTGTTTCGTCAAATTGTTTATGAAATGAAATTTATGATAATATCTAACCGAGAATTTTGATTGGTTAATAAATAAAGCTTTATATATTTATATGATATTCATACTGTTATATTCTAGAGGACAGCTGATTCGAAGAACGGGAATATACACTTAGGTAAGTTATCACAAGTTATTCGGTATGGTTTGAAATCTAAGAAAAATTAATGTAGTAAAATCAACATTTTATGGTATTTGAAAGTTTCAAGAATATTGATAACAATAGTAATAATGAATTACTATGGATTGAGTGAAGTATTTAAAAATAGGGAATATTGTTTTTTTTTCTTCACGTTTTTAATAGTTGTATTCATGAGTCAATATAAGCTAGACGACCATTGAATACATGTGTTTTAACTTGTGACCGCCGATAAGACAGCAGTGACTTATCGATCGGAACAAAGATGCGTAAAACACGTGAGAGCAGCCTAGAGTCGTGATTGCCCATGCTTTCCGCCTAGCCCAGCCAGTTAAGTTCAGAACACCACTCTCAGCCTCTGCAATATGAATCATGTATTTAAAACATACTCTGTTTATATACCAATCAAGCAGACAACAAAGTACCAATAAAATATGAAACAACATTCGTACAAGAATTAGCCAGATGTGGCAGTGAATGAGGGAGGTAGTAATTAATATACTGGGTATAACTCAAGAATGGTAAAACGTATAATAATAGTTTATGGGTCAAAATAAAGCTTATAATCAGAGGAAGATGAATATGCATAGTTTAGTTACTCAACAACTATACGATAGAAATATACGTTTAGTATTGGTCCATCAATAGATCCCAAAGTTACCATTCATTATTCTTGTCGTGATATAACAACATGGAAGTATTGAACAGCCTTTTTCACATTGTCAGTGTAAAGACTGAAATAGATCTGTTCTTCCAACACCCCTCACCACCACCTATTTTATTCATCTTTAAAAAAATTTATACTTTTCGGTGAAATATTGAAAATAAATTCAAAATTCATGTTTAACTAAAATATAAATATGGAGTATGATAATTAAATAAAGCGATTTCACATGGAAACAACATAAATGAACGAGTTATTTATTTTAATTTACTATAAATTTCCCAGATTAATAAAATTGATCTCTTACAATATGAATAACTTACCCCTTCCCACCCCACATCAGCCCCCAAAAAATAATTACTTAGAGATTGTTTCAGTAAACAGTGGTATTAGTAAAAAAAGAAACTACATCATTCCCACTTTTCACAAAAAAGAGATCACATTTTAACCCCTTAAAGAAACGAATTGAAACTAAAAAAAAAGACAACCAAAGATCTACTGAGTAGAACCATCATAAGATTTATATTTTCATTTATCCCTTGATAAGTAATTAAACATTTACATATATGAAAGATGTTCATACTAAATAATGTTAAAAGCATAGGTGATTAGATTCAGTCAGTCAGTCAGTAACAACGTAGAACTTTGTACGTACGTACATCAGTTCGAGTTGTCACACCACATTACCACAGAGATACAGTTGTCTATTCAAATCCCTTAGTGGTAGAGGTAATAAGAGTATAAGCAGTAATCGGGAAGATTAGGGTTTGGAGATGTTATTAGATTAGAAATGATGATAGAACCATTTGTTAGATACCCATTATTTATTATAAACATTGTAACTAAAGATTATATATTCTTAAGTAACTTAGAAATATAGGTTTAAACTAAAATCAAAGAATTAAACTGAGTGCTATTTAAGATCTATACGCTATGACATAATATTGGCTACGAACATCTTGTTATTGCCTATGTAACTGATGTCAGTTTCTTAACATGGTACTTTTTATTTTCAAATTTATTAACGACAAGCCCATCTTTTTCCTTCTATAACATAAACAGATTTACTACTATCTTCATTTAGTTCTTTAACTAATCAAGGTAAATGTTAATGATATCAAGATACTGAGATATTTGACATCGAAAATGGTAGTTGAATAATATACTTCATAACAAATTCAAATAGCTGGACCACTATGGAAAATCTGGAAGTACTGGACAGTCATTTTGTCCTAGTATGGAACTCGTGAGTAGTACGCACCCACAATCCCACACGTGGGATTTGGACCCAGGATCTATCGGTTTCGCACGTGAACGTTTAACCTCTAGACGGCTGATCCGGCATCCAACAGTATTAATATTTAAGTTCAACTAATCCATGAAATCGAGCGACACATCCACCATTGTCTTCAATGAGTTACTACTTCACAACAGACCAGGTTGAACTCGACTAGTCATTGCTTCTCACTAGAACTTCAGGAAATACCTCTTGAAGCCAGTCATTAATGAGCATATGTTAATCAATATCAGAAAGGGATTTTTGTGAATATTGTAGTAATTTCATTAGTTGAGATCATGAGTCTAGTTTTAACTAACTCATAATCTCAACTATATGATGATATATTAGCGTAATACATTTCGAACAATTTGATCACTAGAAATGAAGAGTAAGAGGAGATAAAGAATAATAAAGGAAATAATAATGTGAAAACAATCTGAGACTTAATCATTCTGGATAGTAAGGTAATATTACCAGAATAGGTTTAAGATGAGAACTGTTTTCGAAAACAAAAAGGTGGGTTTAAATATTCATATGGCTGAGGCTTCAATAAATCTTCGCATACGCCCTTTTACACTTTTGTACAACACCATTAGATCATTGTTACGATCTGTTTTAATTATGTGTTTGAATCATTTGATTTTATTTGTTTTTGCTAATATATCATCAAATAGTTCTGATAATCTTGGTCTTCTTATTACACTATCGAAATTTATCAAAGGGAGTAATTGCTCTAAACAAAAATAGGTCTCGATGTTCATGAAGACGTTTAAGAAATAAGTTGTAACACTCACTTTTATGGTCAGTAACAAATGCCAAACGTTTATCGACCCTTCATGATCAAGTAAATTAAATTAAATAGAAATGAATTAAAAATGGTTAGGATACATCTACATTTTCTTTCTTACTCATTTGTTACCCCTTTACAAAATAGTTTAACAACGAACCAATCAGGTATAACAATAACAAGTCTTGGATTTTGTCGCGAAATTCATTCATCAATTAGGCATTAGAGTTGATGAAAATCCCAAATCTAATTCCCAACCTTAACCATCAATTTTAAATCATAATCCCAATCCCTCACATTGGTTCATAACCCTTATTTGGTTCTAGTTATTAGGTGGACACTCTCAAGGTCACTCTACTGTCACCCAAAGGTCATCCATAAATTATATTATCAACAAATTTGGTAGTAAATAGACTTGAAAAAAGTTTCATTAACTCTGTAAATGGAGATTATTAGCTAGATTACGTGTCCGTGAATTTGTAGTTCATCTGTTTTCCATGTTCAATATACATTTTTAAAGAGATCATTTAGTAAGTGAGCACATTATTTTCGTTGTGGATTTCATTTCAAATCCACTTCATTTGTTGCTATCAAAGGGCAATTTTGAGCGTACTACGACGAGATATTTAAAGAAAACAATATGTAGATAGCTTAATAGTTTGATTCATGAGTAAATTGAAGCTAGACCACCATGGAAAACATGGGAAGACTGGATGGCCATTTCATCCTAGTATTGGAATCGTGAGCAGTAGGCATCTACGATCCCACATGCGGGATTCGAACTCAGGTCCTATTGGTCATATGCGCGAACGCTTAAACTCTAGACCACTGAATCAGCATAGATTAAAATGAAATCTTTAGTCAGGGAAATTCATCCTGCTTTATACAACAATTACCCCCTAAAACAATAGATATTTCACATTGATTGGAGATTTAAAAAAGGATTATTAACCTTACACAGTGTTCACAATTACAATCTTCATTGAATCTGTTTATGAAAATTCTGACGACTAATGCTTTATAAAAATAGGTGATTGTTTACTCAATATTTAGCATAGAATGTACCCTTGAATTACAGATATGAGCGTTTTGATGATACATATATCTTTGAAATATACACAATTGTGTATACAACAGTTTAAATAATTAGTGACGTTTTAGTTAAACATTAAGAAATGATGTCTAATATTGAATACGAAATAAAACCCCTCAACTACTTTGCAGTGCAAAAAAATTCCCTTGGTGTGTTTATAAAAGTATTTTATATCATCACTGATAAGGGTTTGAACTATCCCATTGTTAATAATGGAGATTTTAATCAGTCTTTGTCAACATATGTGTATCTTGCTTAGATACGGTGGTTTTGTTGCAAGTTTTTTTAATGCATAGATTGATTGTGGCAAGCGGTAAAGTACAAGATGTGAATCATCTTATCAACACTAGGATCTATATACATCCAGCTAATGCATTCCTAATGCAATAGAACTTACGTCCTACACAACTATTTATTTATTTATTTAAACAAATGAACATTGGTACAAGAAGGCGCCAAATAGATATGCGCCACATAAATAATTTTGATATGCGTCAGGGCTTGGATATTGCTCGGTTGCCCAAACCAAAGCAGGTGGTTTCCTTACGAAGTAACTTCTCGAGCCTTTGATCTAAATATCTAATCCACAAGGCAGTGGAACAACGTAAGGTGATGCAGTCCATTGTTCCTTCAGCATACTGGAACCCATATGGACCATTGGTTTGGACTCAGGATTTTCCAACTCTCCTAGGTAGATCCTCCGTATCCATCAACCCGTTTAAAGCACCGGATATTTACTTTTCGTCTTCTCGATTTCATAAACAACACACCCACCACGAGAAGGCAGTGGATAGGAATTCCCTGGTAGTGGTTGTATTCATATGGCCATATGAGAGCATTTCGAAAGAGAGAGAGATATGACTCTGTCCACTTTCGGCTGTACCAAGGTGTTTGGGGGCCTGTACTCTTCTACTAGACACAATCTATCTATTCTAAGAAAGAAATATTCAACGTTAAATTTATGTATTTCTTTATTTTCATCTTCAATTCCATTATCTAAATAGAAACTGATTTATTTTGAAGATTATAGATAACCTTATTAGATAAATTATTATTTAATGCATTTTAGCACACATAAGTAAAATATCCCACATATCAGATAGGGTCACAGTAACAAATAAACAAATAGAATAAATTCAAAGATAATAAACTATAC